GAGGGGGAATGAGAAAAGGAGGGGTGAGGGTGATATGGGGGATATGTCTCCCTACCCGGCCATTACCCCCACCCACAGCGTGAGGGCTGTGCTCAGGTCAGTCCTGCCTCCAGCCATGTTGGGGTGTAAGGATGACAGGGGAGGGAGAAACCTCCCGGTGGCTCCAGGGCCCGTGCCACGCAAGCTGGCGTGTGGAGGTAGAGCGAGGAGCGGCAGGAAGAAGGAGAAGATCCTAGAAGCCCCCTGGACCTGGCCCAGGCTGAGCCCCCCCCCCCATGCCCTCTGGCTGCCCTTCATTCTCAAGGACTTCCTGGTCCGCAGTCTCCTGTTTGCTGAGATGGGGAGAACCCCTCGGTGACCCGTCCTCCTAGCCCCCCATCCGCCCTGCTCCCCTCCTCAGGGTGTCTCAGATTCTGGGACTTGGGTTTCAAGAGGCACAATAGTTATATTCTCCGGCTCTGATTGCTGCGGGCCGGGCCTCTGGCTCCCCTCGAGATTGGGTTTCCAGCGCTCTGGACGCTCCGGAATCTCAGAGGCGTGGGGGAGGGGCCGTGCCACGCCGGAACGGCCGGCCGAGCCGCTCCTGAGTTGCATGGGCCCTTCAGAGGGCAGCCACCCCGGAACAGAGCACACCCCCACCTGCGTCTTGACCTCAGGCCTGGGGGGAGAACCAGGGGAAGGACACGCGGGCCCTGAGGGGTGTCCTCCCTGGCCCCCAAAAAGCCAGCCTTCAGGGCAGAGCTGGAGGGGTTTCCTAGCTGGCCTAGAGCTTAGCACAGAGCATGCTGCCACCGTGGGGTCACAGCTCGGGGTGCACGGCTCACCCCACCCCTGCAGGACGGCAGGACGTGGCTGGAGGCGTCTCCACCTTGTGCTGGCCTGCGTATTTGCATGTGCTTGGGGACACACGTGTGGGTGTGGTTGAGCCGGGTCTGTGTGCCCCTCCCAACCCTGAAAACTCCCGGCGTCGTGAGGTGCGTGGGGGAGGCCGGCCAGCGAGTCACATGCGCCTTTTGTCAGGGAGTTTGTCTCGGGTGAGAGCTCGGGGTAGCGCGCCCCTCGCTGCGGCCTGCAGGAGTTCCCCCTCACCTAGCGGGAGCCAAAATATCTCCCTGCCTGCGACTGGAAAATATATATAAAAACATTGTCGGTCGGGACTCGTGTGCAGCCCTGGGCTCTTCCTGGCAGCTGGAGCCTCCCTCTCCGGAACGCTCGGAAACATGCACACGTATGCACACGCGCACACGTGGGCGCACAGGCAGGATCGGGAGAGGAAACGGGGCTGGACCGAGGGGAAGGGAAGGAGAAGGAAGGACGGCGAGGGGGTGCCGAGCCGAGACAGAACCGATTCAGAGAGAAAGGCTAAGAGCTGAATGAAGGAAGCGGGGAGCTTCAGGGGCTGAGAGGGTGGAGGTGGGGGAGGGCAGGAAAGACAGTGGGGGGCCATTGCCGCCGTTCCAGGGGATACGGAGGGGCCCGAGGAAGACAGGGGCCCCCACTACCAACCAGGGGGCTGCACCAGGCCACTGCCAGTGCACAAGCCAGCGACACAGGCTGACCGATGACGTGTGTGCAGGTGGATGGGGAGCAGTCCCTCCAATTAGAGCCTTGCTCTGGGGGGCCCACTGGGCCCACGCTGAGGCAGCCCAGGTTTGTCACCTTCTCCTGCACCCTCCTCCCTTCCGGGAGCCTCCTGGGGGGCCGGATCCCCAGGCACCAGGAGGAGGCCGTGTGGAGGATGTTAGCAGAGCCTGCGCTTGTGTGCGACACAGGCTAGTCTGACCCCCTGGCAATGTTCGCAACAAAATTCTCTCCTTCCCCAAACCTGGCCCCGGGTCGGGGCCCTGGTGCAGCCATCCTCAGATAGCCGCTGAGGAGGAGGCCTCATGAGCCGGGCACCATGGGAGGACGCGTAGAGGGGCTCTCTGGTCCTCAGCACAGGAAGGCGGACAGCGGTGAGGTGTCCGGGGCTGAGGGAGGTAACCGTGCCAACGGCCCCCCTGTCCTGTCTCCAGTCTCCCCGGGAATTTACAGCAGCTGTGGTCTCTGAAGAAAGGTTCAGGCAGGGGGTTTCTGTGCCGGCCTCAGTCGGGGGCCTCCCCCCCTCCCCCCCTTCTCCCTCCTGCACTGGGGGTATGTGCTTAGGGTTCCCATCACTCTGGTGACCGGGCCAGAGCGGAGGCGGAGGCTGGAAAGACTGCCAGGGAACGTGACCCCGAACGGCTGAGGGCTCAGAGCGAGTCTCCGGGATGTGGGCTGGGCGGGAGAGAATAAAAGATGGAGCCGGGCACCTGCCCGCCCTGTGCCAGCCAATGCCATCCTGCCCCTCCATGGGTCCGCAGGCCACCAGCTGGCCCATTGTCCCCCGTGAGAAAGCAGACACTGGAGGGGGCTCCCGGTGGCAGGAGCTCGCTCACGCCCGCCTGGCAGAGCCTGCCGAGGAGAGCCACCCCGCGCTGGGTCGGGGCGAGGGGGGGCCCCGCCGGGCAGCAGTCAGGTCTCCTCGGGCGCTGCTGGCAGGGGGCAGCGCGTGGGGCCTGCGAACAGGAGATAAAGGGTTCAGGCAGAGGGTTTTCCCTCACTAACCGTGGATTTGTGTGTTTGTTCAGCTGGTGGTTCTGATAAGCCCCATTCTGCCAGATAAAAGCCCGGCAGCCGCGAGGCGGGGCCTGGAGCCTTCCTCCTGTCTGTCCCCAGGCCTGGGGTTATCCCCTCCCCCGGGAGGGAAGGGGGTCAGGGTGCTGGGGTGCTGTGTGCTCCGAGGGCTGTCCAGACCAGACCCTGACTTCAGGGCACGGCTCCCCCAGCACCCCTGAGAGGGGCGGCTCTCGGAGGGGCGGCTGTCTCTCCCCTCCCCGGGCGCCTGTGCACCAGGGCCCACAGCCTGTCTGCTGGGTCCCCGCCAGCCCCTCCGGGCCCGTCCAAGGCCCACTCCCCAGCTGTCGAGGTGGGCACGGGCCTGCAGCCGTCACATTGCACGCTGTCCCCTTGGGGCCGGGGTCCACTCGTGCTGAACCAGAGGAGCCCTTGGGCCTGGGGGCTGCCTGGGGCCAGCTGCCTGGAGCGGGCAGAGCGTCCCCAGGCCCTGGCCTCGGCCCCCGTCCCCTCCCTGTCCCTCCCTGTCCCCTCCTCGGCCTGGGAGGGAGGGAGAAGCTTGTGCTATTCGAGCGCCAGGCCGGCGGTGGCTGCGGGCGCCAGCCGTAAGATGGCTGCCAAGGAGAACATGGCTGCCAGCAGCGGGCAGCGCTGCCCGAGGCGCGTGGCGGCCCTGGGCGCGCTCTCCCCGCTGCCCGCTCTCCGCGGCGCTGATAGGAATAACAGTGGCTCCGCTCGGGCCGCGTCCCGGGAGGAAGGATTTCCTGTCTGTCTCGCTGCGGGCGGCCCGAGCGTCTGCCTCCGTCGCCGCTCCACCTCCGTCTCTTTGTCCGGCCGCTCTGGTCTCCGTCCCGGGGCTTGCCAGCGCCTCCGCGTGGGGGGGACCTGGGCCAGTCCAAGGGATGGGCATCGGGGTCTCCTCCACTGACCCGGGCCTGCAGGGGCTGGTGGCAGGGACCCCTGGGCAGCGGGGGCTGGAGCCTGGCCTCAGGCTCTGTCCCTCCTGCGTCAGGAACCGGGGAAAGGGTGGCCCTGAGAGGCAGCTGCTGGCTAGGGCTGTTATTATTTTTTGTCATTAAAAAGAAAATCGAACAAGGGGCCCTGGCCGGGTAGCCCAGTGGGCGGCGTCCCGCTATGCCAAGGTTGTGCGGCCATCTTTGGTCAGGACACGTACAGAAGTCAACCAATGAGTGCACGCGCAAGTGGGACAAATGGATGTTTCTCCTTCTCTCTCCCCCTTCCTGTCGCTCTCTAAAATCATCAAAACCGTGTTTTTAATCTTATAAGGGAAAGGAAGGGGGACACGGGCCCGAGACCGTCCTGAGGCAACCCGTCCGCTCCCACAGGCCACATGGAGGCAGGTGGCCGGGGACCGAGCCGCGGAGGGGCCCTCGCTCCAGCCCCGGAGGGGGCCCACGTCGCCCTCCGGAACCTCCTCACTGGCCGCTCCCCAGTGTGAGCGGCTCAGCAGCAAGGTTCCCGGCCAGCAGGCTGGCCGTGGGCGACGGGTGCGACCAAGAGGCAGGATTGTTCCAGAGAGCGGGGCAAAGCCCCAGCCAACACCCGTCGCCCGTTTCCCCAGTGCCACCCCGTGGGGTCCCCCAGGAAACAGCTGATTCTTTTACCCAGTGCCTGCCTTCCTCCTGCCCCACAACCTGCCCCGGCCCCCCTCTGCCACCCTCTCACCAGCTGTCGTGCCCAGGCAGGCATTCTGGAGGTCCCCGTGGTGCCCCTGGCACACAAAGCTCCGAGGGCCCGGAGGGCGGGGCGGGGGCTTTCCCAAGCCCGGCAAAATATTCACACACACACTCCGCCCTGCCCCCAGCCCGCCGCGCCCGCCGCACAATGGGCCCTTGTTTCGGGGCTCTCTCCGAGCAGCTGTGGCACTGGGGCATGAGACAGCCCAGACAGGCTGGCACAGCGCGGGCGGCAGCGCCAGGGCCGGCCTCCCCCCTCCGTGTTGCCAGGCACTGCCTGTGAGCAGAAAGGTGAGGCGGGGGAGGCTCCGGCAGGCTCTAATTAATGAAGTGCGGGGAGCAGGGGCTGCTCCTCCGGGCACTTGAGCCGGGTGGAGGAGGGGGAGCCCTTGGGTCCATTCCAGCTGTGCAGAGCCGGCCGCTGGCTTCCGGCCGAGGAGCCCTCCCGGCCCTGACTGCCGGCCGGTGCCGCTCACCCACGGGCAACTTTGTCCCCCGGCACGTCGGCCAATGTCCGGAGACGGTTTCGGTTGTCACCACTGGGGTGCTACTGGCACCTAGTGGGTGGAGGCCGAGGGTGCTGCCGAACACCCTGCAGTGCCCAGGAGCCCCCACCACAGTGGGGTGTCCCTGGACACGGGGCTGGAGAGGGAGCCATTGGTGAGGCGCTCTGGTCTTGACCCATCTTCCCCTTTGTGTCTCCCGCAGAATCCGGACAATCAGATAGTTCAAACCAGCAAGGAGATGCGGACATCAAACCACTGCCCAACGGTCAGTGCCCTCGCCCCCCTGCCCTGTGCCCACGCCTCCCTGATGGCCCGGCCCCTGGGCCCGCCTGCGTCTCCCACCAGCTCCTCCCCTTCACGCAGCTGTCCCTCAGCGGAATTTTGGCTGCCAGCTGGAGGGGAGGGGACGCACCTGGAGTGCACCCCCTCTTCTTTAGAGACCTGAGAACCCCAGAGGGCCATCCCGGGGCTTGGGAGGGAGCATTGGGGAGTGGGGAGACATCCCCTCCTGGCCTCCCCTCCACTCACTCACCGCTCTGTTTCCTCCTCAGGGCACTTAAGCTTCCAGGACTGTTTTGTGACTTCCGGGGTCTGGAACGTGACAGAGCTGGTCAGAGTATCACAGAGTAAGTTGAGTCCTTCCTTCCTGGCCCAGTCAGCAAGAATCGGGGGGTGAGGCGTGGGCCCTGCAGAAGGAGAGGGTCTTGCTGAGGTCAGGGGCAGTCAGGGTTTCCTGGGACAGTGCCTGCCTCCTGGGCACCAGGCTGAGGGCAGCAGCGGTGCCCTGAGAGCCCCATGCCTGGCCTCTGCTTTGGAGGAAACAGGCAGCGAGGGCTCTCCTCCAGCGAGCTCAGCTGGGAGGGGATCTCCTCGGCAGCTTCCCAGTGAGCCTACCCCGGGGCTCCTGGGGGACAGGCTCCCTCGGCCTCCGGCACCCACATACTCATCCGCCATCCCCTCGCCTCTTCCCAGCTCCTGTCGCCACAGCATCCGGCCCCAACTTCTCGCTGGCGGACCTGGAGAGTCCCAATTACTACAACATCAACCAGGTGACCCTGGGGCGGAGGTCCATCACCTCCCCTCCCTCCACCAGGTAAGTAAGCCCAGCACCTCTGTCCTTCCCTCCCCGTTCCCCCCCCCCCACCGGGCCATCTCGGAGGTGGTGGGCCGCTAGACCACAGCGCCTTGGTGCTCAGAGCGTCACCCCTCGCTGAGGGCACTGGCCCTCTCCCCTGGACGTCCAGCTTTGTACTGTTGTGGGCGCTCGACCCTGGGAACACACACCTCAACACGGCCTGGCTCTGCCTGGAAGGCGCTCCCAGTGGGGACCTGAGAAGGTCTCTCTCTCGGGAATGTGACATTTGAGCCCAGACCTGCAGGGGGCTAGTAAGGGTGCGGGGCGGACACTCCAGATAGAGAGAGCAGCTTCCGTCCCGGCCGAAGTGGGACAGGCTGGTGGGACCCCTCTCTGGAGGGCTTCAGAGGCCAGAGGACAGTATTTAAATTAAAAACCCACTAGCGTGTTTTTTTTAATTTATGTTTTAATATTTTATTGAGTTTTTACAGAGAGGAAGAGAGAAGGATAGAGAGTCAGAAACATCGATGAGAGTGAGCCATCGATCAGCTGCCCCTTGCACACCACCCCGCACTAGACATGTGCCCGCAACCAAGGCACATGCCGTTGACCGGAATCGAACCTGGGACCCTTGAGTCCGCAGGCCAATGCTCTATCCACTGAGCCAAACCGGTTTCAGCCCCGCTGGCATGTTTTAAGCAGAAGATGTCAGGGATGTGTGCTCAGGAAAGCACCTCCAGCAGGACCGATGGCCAGGCTGGAAGAGAGCCCGCGTCCTGGAGGGGGAGCAGTGGCATGAGGGGGGAGGATGTAGCTGAGAGATGGGTGAGGACACAGTAGGCCCTGGTCAGGACCAGTCGTGCAGGGCAGGGTAGGATCCTGTCCCTTAAAAAAAAAAAAAAAAACATAACTGGATGTTTTGGTTCATGTGAGGTTTGGGGTGTTCATTTTGATCTGTTTAGATATTGCATCCAAACACGAGAACATTTTCAGGGGTTTTTGTGGGCCCCCCCTGGCGTATTTTCCCCTGGGGAGTGCCTCCGCCTTCTCACCCTGGGGGCTGATGGGGCCCAGGAAGCGTTTGAGGGTGTTGCCCACCTCTGACGCGAGCAGCTCGATGGATGATGGTATCAGGGGGGAACTGAGAAGGTGACCGAGGAGGAGCAGCAGGCAGGCTGGGCCCCAGGGGCTCCCCTGGGGCTGTTCCGGGGGTGGACACGAATGAGCGCCCAGCGACAAGGCTGGACCACAGCGAGCACCCGCTCCCAGCACAGAGGGCCGTCCATGAGGCTCCCTCGGCCTGAGTCCCGGTCCCCGGGCCGCCCCTGGCCCCCCTGACCCCTCTCCTCCTTCCCCAGCACCACCAAGCGCCCCAAGTCCATCGATGACAGCGAGATGGAGAGCCCTGTGGACGACGTCTTCTATCCTGGGACAGGCCGCTCCCCGGCGGCTGGCAGCAGCCAGTCCAGCGGGTGGCCCAACGATGTGGATGCAGGTACGGGCCGAGAGGCCTGGCCCGGAGCGAGGGCGGCCCCGAGCCTCGTCTCCTCCCTCCGTCCGCCCGGTGACTCTCCCACCGGTCCCCCCCGCTGTCAGCGGGACTCCCCGGCTTCTGGCCTCCCGGTCGCCCCGAGGAAGGCAGTGCCGCCAGTGGGGCCGGAGGACGGGGCGGGGGCAAGAAGCGTGGCTGCCAGCGTGGGCGGCAGAGCCACGGGCATGCAGGAGGGAAGCAGAGGCCTCTGATGCCCTGCAGTGGGGCCGGGGCTTCCCCTCCAAAGCCTCTCAGGCTCCTTCTCTGGGTATTTCTGGAGAAAGGCTGTCCCAGCTGCAGAGTCTTGGTGGTATAACCAGCTAACTGCCCTGCGTCCAAAACGAACGGTCCCCGCGTCTCTAGCCGCCCGTGGCGTACAGAGGGTTGGAGCGGTTTCTCAGACGGGGCCCTGCGGACCCTGGGGCTGGGCCTTCTCTGGGCTGCGGCATCCTGTGCACCGAAGGATGTTGAGCAGCAGCCCTGCCTCCCCGCTCTAGATGCCAGTAGCATCCTTCCCACACACACACGCCCATGGTGTGATGGCCAAAACCGTCTCCAAACATCACTGAATGTCCCCTCGGGTCGGGGGAGGACAGACCCTTCCCCAGCTGACCGAGCTGAGAACAGCTGGGCTAAAGGGCCCAGCTTCGCAGAAAGGGGCAGAGTCTAAGGCCTCCCAGACCCCTCCAGCCACCTACTTGCCAGGGACCCCGCCCACGGGCACGCCGGGCCCTGCTGGGAGGCCTGGGCGGACCCGGAGAGCCCCTGAGGGTGTGCGCACCCGTGGCCGGCGGAGACGAGGAAGCTGGCTATGGGATACTTCCTGGCACACGGGTGGCAGCCTGTGTGTGCCCGGGCCGGGGAGTACCGCCCGTGCGTGTGTGTGCGTGTGCACAGGGTGCCTCTGCTCTCCTCGGCCTGGGGTGAGGACGTGGCTCTCCAGATGTGGCCCTACTGGGAAGGGCCACGTGGACGGGCAGGGGCTGGGATGAGGGAGAAGGAAGGCCAAAGGTCAGGAAGGCGCTGCCCCAGACACAGAATCCGCTTTGGCTCGGGGCTCCTCTGGAGGCGGGGAGGAGGCTCAGCCGGGCCTGGGCGCAGGGAGCAGGCTCTGGGCCGCCATGGAGCCCGCCTCTACCGACGGACTCGCTCCCCATGACGCTGGGTGCTCTTCCTAGGGCTTCCCGGAGGCAGGCGCGGGCTGGGGGCCAGCACAGTCCCGATGCTTCCCTGGGGACCTCGGGAGGTGCAGAGAGAAGGCCCTGAAGAAGCCTCAGCCGGAGCCTCCCTTCAGGGGCTGCTCCCACGAGGCGCTGGTGCCTTAAGGGCACGTCCACCGTGGCCGGCGGCGGCGGCCCCGGGCCCTCCCTCAGCCTAAACCCGGTTCCCAAGGAGCCCTCCTCCCCAGGCTCCCGCTCTCTCCTCTCTTGGCTGTCTGCTGCGGAGCCCGCATTTCCACTCCTCCCCGCAGTCCTGACACACACGGCTCTCCCCAAACCGTCCTGCTGCGGCACCCCGCCTCCTCGCTCTCCCTCTTTTCCTCCTGGCCCCGCTTCCGGAGCTATCTCCCCGTGCTGAGACAAATCGCCAATTAAGCAGCCCAGCTGCAGGACGGGAACAGCTGGGGAGGCACTGTGTGGCCTAGGGGACAGCTGTGCACAGCTGGTGGGGCGCTCCCCCCCCTCGCCGTGCCAGCGATCAGGTGGCACACAGCTGCTGCCAGATAACACCTCTTCTGGCGGCTGGGAGTCCCCCCCCCTCCTCCCTCTGCGGTTAAAGTGGCTCTTATTTCTCTGTTCTGCAGCCCCCTACTTCCCCCCCCCCCCAAGCTGACTTGATTTGTGCATCAAAGATGGCAGCTCTGGAGATCTGCTCCAGCCCCACCTTACCCCTCCTCCCTCCCTCCCTCCCTCCCTCCCTTGCAGCCTGGGCACCGCTGCTGAGGCTCAGCCCAGAGAAGAATCAAGCTCCCACAGAGGACCTGGCCCCGGGGCCGGCCATGCTTTGTCACAGTGTCATTTGGATGTGGTGCCCACTGGGCACCGAGGTGACCTTGGCTGGCAGCATGAGGGTCCTAGAGGGGTGTCCTCTGTGCCCTGCCTCCTGCTGAATGCCACCCCCTCGCTGGCACTGGCAGCAAAATGAATGCCCAGTCCAAAGGCAGTCCAACCTCAGGTTCCCTGGCCGAGGCAGCCCTTGCCTGGCCAGCCCTGGCCCCAGGGACTTCCCGGTGCCCCGATCCTGTATCCCACCCTCTCATTGGTGCCCCCTGAGCTCATCATCTGCTTGTCAGGAGGCAAGATGGACGCCCTGCCCAGCACACCCCAGTGCCTCCTCACTGTCCTCTCCTGTCAGGAGCGCCCTGTGCCGGCCGGTCTGTGCACAGGGCCCGAGAAACAGCCGGCTGGGGCAGAGGTGGCAGGAGGGGCATGGTGGGGGAAGGGGCAGCCAGGAGGGGGCTGAGGAGAGGAGTGAGCTGCTGGCTTCCCGCCTTCCCCTGCTCCCGCCCTGGCCCAGCTAAACCTGCCCTGTGTTGCTGATTCCTCCCCCCAGGCCCGGCTTCTCTAAAGAAGTCAGGAAAGCTGGACTTCTGCAGTGCCCTCTCCTCTCAGGGCAGCTCCCCGCGCATGGCTTTCACTCACCACCCGCTGCCTGTGCTTGCTGGAGTCAGACCAGGTGAGACACGAGGGCCCAGAGGGGGGCTCTCAGGGCGGTGGCGGAGCACGGAGGGGCAGCCGGCCAGGAGAAGGGCCAGGTCCATCCGAGCGAGGGCCCCACGCTCTCTAAGGGGCTGTGGTCTGACGGGGTGGGCGAGGGAACGGGCCCTCCTTCCACAGCAGCACGGACAGGAGAGCCAGCCGGTCAGTGGCCTCCTCCCCTTGTTCCCAAGCACTCTCCTATTGCTTCTCCCTCCCATGTGCACGCGTGGACACGCTTGCGTGTGTGCCCTGTGCTTGTGTGTATGCATGCACGGAGTGCATGTGTGCACATGGGTGCGTCCCGTGTGCTTGGGGTGGGGGGAGTGTGCGTGGATGTGTGCACCGGCCTGCGTTGCCCTCAGGCCTGCCTGGGTCTTCTCTCGCCAGCTGTGACTGGGAAAGCTCAGCTTCTCCCTCTGCCCTCCTCTCAGCTGCCCTCCCGGCTCCTGGGCCAGAGGTCCGTCTTCCCACACCGACCGGGGTGGGCACGGGCCGCAGATTGAAAGGGAACCCAGGGATCACTCGTGGCGCCGGGGCTGTTCTCAGGAGAAGGTGTTTGGCAGGGAGAACACCTCCGTGTTCCCCAGGGGATGGAATCAGGCAGGAAGCTGTGGGAGCCGAGCCCTCACCACCCCCTCATCTGCTTCTTCCCGCTCTTGTTCCTACTCCCACCTCAGCACCCATCTGGCAGAAAGAGGCTTGAACTTTTTCTGGACACAGCCCCGCGCCCGCCCACCCTCTCCCGGGCCCTTCTCTAGGACACAGAGAAGGAACGGCGAGGTTTACCCTCCCGGCTTCCTCCTCGGGGCCTCCTGGCCGGGAGCCCAGAGGCAGCCTGTGCCGGGCAGGGCGTGGCGGCCTGGGGTGGGGGCAGGGAGCCCAGCTCCGCTCAGCTTTTATGAACTCCAGAGAGAAGCCAAGTTTCCTCAGCCCCTAATGAAACCAAGAGCGAGAGCCGGCTGATTGGAAACAGGCGGGAGGGAGAGGGCCGGCTGGGGAGAGCTGGGGCCTGGGCCGGGATGGAAGTTGTGGGGTGTGCGAGGACGCATGTGCAAGCGCGATGAGGCTGAGCACACCAGAACGTGGCCGAGGCGGCCGCGGCCAGGCGCACACCTGCTCGCACGCAGGAGAGGATGTGCACGTTGTGTCCTGCAGGATGCTGGGGTCCTGTCTGTCCCCTCTTCCTCATCCAGGCTCCCATCCTAGCCTGGGACCTCGCCTTGGTGCACACTGTGAGGGGGCACCCAACCTCTGATCGTCAAGATAAACGATGTTTTAATGCAATGTGTTCTTTTTTAAAATCTATTTTTATTGATTTCAGAGAGGAAGGTGGAGGGAGAGAGATAGGCATATCAACGAGGAGAGAGAGTCAGTGATCAGCTGCCTCCTGCATGCCCCACACTGGGGATCGAGCCTGAAGCCCCAGCACGTGCCTTGATTGGAATCGAACCCGGGACCCTTTAGTCCGCGGGCCAAATCTCGATCCACTGAGCCAAACCAGCTAGAGCTAATGCAATATTCTTTAAAAATAAATAAATAAATAAATAAATAAATCTATCACGAAAACAAAGAGCAAATAAAAACATTTTAAACGAAGGATGGATCTGATGCTATCCTTGCATGGCCCTGCCTCATTTTCCTCGAACCCTTACCCGTGGCCCTGGTCCCCATCAAACTTTATTTGTCATGACAAGCAGCTGGTGGGTGTGCAAGCCTACGTTTGCCAATTGGATTTATTTTTAAAATATTGCATTAAAATGTTATTTACCTTGATTGCTGAGGGGTTTTCCTGTGTGCGCTGTCTCAACTTTCACGCCAGAGGCCAGACCCTCATTCTCCTCACCCTGGTCCCGGCCCTGCTCCCGCCCGAGCTCCCTCTTCCTCGGTGCCCTGCCCAGCCGTCTCCCTCCTCTTCTGCGCCCTGATGCCCTTTTCTTCCCGCCCACGTGCATGCAGGGAGCCCTCGGGCCACAGCGTCAGCGTTGCACTTCCCCTCCACATCCATCATCCAGCAGTCGAGCCCGTACTTCACGCACCCGACCATCCGCTACCACCACCACCACGGGCAGGACTCGCTGAAGGAGTTTGTGCAGTTTGTGTGCTCAGATGGCTCGGGCCAGGCCACCGGACAGGTGAGTCCAGAGGCCGGGGAGCCCCACCACAGCTCATCCCTACGTCTGTCCGTCTGTGTCAGGATCACAGGGAGAGGGCCCGAGAGCCGAGCCCGCCGGCACGGGAGCAGCAGAGAGCCCGCAGCAGACGCCTTAGAGTTCTGGTCGGCGGCCGCAGGGGTGTGTGCATCAGGCCAGGGCCTCCCCATCACCGTCCAGGAGGTGGGGGCCGCAGCGGGGCGCACCTTGCTCGGGCTCCTTGCCCTCTCTTCAGTCTCTGTGCCCCCAGGAGTGCACCTATGAGCTGTTCGACCCAGACCGGGCCCCTTCCTCCTCACACCCCTCTTACACCTCGGGGCTGCAGGGATTTTCTAGGTCAGAATTTCCCCACCGTGGCACTCTTGGCATTCGGGGTTGGCCAGCATTCTGCGGCAGGAGGCTGTCCCGGGCACGGTGGGGTGCGGAGCCGCCTCTGTGGCCCCGGGGGCTGTCCCAGAGACTCCCGTTGGCAGGACTGTTAACGGGGGGTTTCCAGGTTGCTTGTGGTTTCGTAGCGCAGTCCTGCTCCTCAGCCTGGGAGAGGCTGGCTGTCCGTGGCGCTCTGGGGCGTCGGTGGGCACTGCTGTTCTCTGTCAGTAAGCCCCAGGACCCAGGCCACTGACAAGCAGACATTCGGGGTCCCCCAGGAGAGGAAGGATTCCAAGCAGCGGTGGCCCAGAGACAGCCCTCCAGTGGGACAGGGGTCCTCACCTGGTCCCTGGGAGACCAGGCTGGGTCGGGACACGGTGGTCTTTCGACCTCTGGAAAGGCTCTGGAGCCCCTGCGGCATGCTGCATGGCAAGAAGGCCCAGCTCCTGTCCCCCAGCCGGCCGGCCTGGAGGCCCCCTGGGGAGAGGTCAGGAGGGGGAGGCCCACGATGGGGCCCTTTGCCAGGCCCACGCCAGACCATGCCCAGGGAGAGCAGGGTGCCCCACACAGCAGGGACGTTGGCAAAGTGCGGGTGTACGATGGATGGGGGGGCTCCTCACTCCGTCTTCCCTCCCTCCTGCTCTCTCTCCTTCTGCTTTCCAGCTCCTCCCCCCCACCCCGGGCCCCTTCAAGGTTTCTCTTCCTGGCTCTGCAGCTCCTTAGCCCACTCAGAGCCTTGCCCACCTCTCTGGACGAGCTCTGTCCACTTTAGGGGCGTTCAGGGAAACGTGAATGTGCTTCCCCCCCCCTCCCAACAGCGACCGCACTTTCTCCAGAGATGCCGGCAGAGTCTTGGGGACTGCCAGCCCCGTGTACCAGGCCTTTGGGACGGGTGGGGTGTGGCGTGTTCCCTCCACCCGCCTTGCCTGCCTTCTCACCTACAGGGACAGCTGGGCTGGGAATCAGGGAGACCAGCCTGGGCGACCAGTTAGCCCAGAGAGCTCGTCCCTCCCCTGGGCATCCTGACAGCGGGGTCCTGACCCTCTCCCTTGACTTGACTGCTCAAGATGAAGGTTTCATTTTGCCTAGAAGGTTCTCTTCTCAAGGCAGATGCTCTCTCTGAATAGACCACGGACAAAACGCGACAGACAGGCAAACCGCTTCCTGGTTAGACAGGGCGGCTAGCTCGGCCGGGGATCGGCCCCTCTGGGTTCTTGTGGCCTGTGGTGTCCAGGGAAGGAGGGGGTGTCTCCTGCTCCAGTGAGCCTGCTGCAGGTGGCCGGGCGGCCTTGGAGAGGAGGCCAGAGACAGCCCCATGCTGTGGGGGAGGAGAGAGCCGGAGGCCCAGGCTCTGCAGCTGACATAGCAGCAGGGGGTGGCCACACAGGCAGCTCGCCTGCTCCGTGGCCCCCTCCAGAGGAGAAGTCAGCATGCAGGGCGTCCCCCCCGGAGGCCTGGCAGACACACAGGTGGCTGGCTCTCACCTGATTCCGATTCGGCCAGGCTGGGTGGGCCTGAGAATCTGCGTTTCTCCCCCAAGTTCTCAGCTGCTACTGCTTCTGGTCGGAGGACCACTCTGAGAACCACTGACCCGGAGCCCAGAGGAGTACATTCCTCGTGAGAGTTCGAAGCTGCAGGTCATCTTTACAGGAAAATGTGTGCGTGCAAAAAGTGTAGAGATGATCTGCAGAACGGGTGCCAGGTGCCCCCTGTGGCTTAGCCTCGGTCCCTGGGGTAAGGCCCTAACTGAGAAGAACCACATCAGTCAAGGCCAAGGCCCAAATGGAAACACCACTCAGAGGAGATGCACAGGTCAGAAAGAAAGAACCTCGCTAGCTGTTTAGAGAGAAGAGACAATGCAATGGAGAGGTCCCAGGGCTCAGTGAAGGGCAGGAGGCCTGGTTCCAGCTCAGCTTCCGCCAGCAATGCTGGAGCAGCCAGGCAAGCCCTCGTCTTCCTCTGTCACCAGCATGCACTTCTAGCTCTTCTATATCAGAGAGGAAGGGAGAGGGAGAGAGAGAGAGAGAAATGTCCATGATGAGAGAGAATCATTGATTGGCTGCCCCCTGCACGCCCCACACTGGGAGTTGAGCCTGCTACCCGGGCCTGTGCCCTGACTGAGATGGGACCATGACCGCCTGGGGTATAGGTTCATGCTCAACCGCTGAGCCCCGCCAGCCGGGTTGCGCTGATAGCTCTTAACTCATGAGGTCGTACGATGCTGCTGCAGGTCACAAGATCTTGAGATTTTAAAAAACTGCAGCTTATAACCCAACCCGAGCAGAGACCCCCTAGCCTGGTTGGAAGCTGCTTCTAGAAACCGGATGTTGTACATCGGCAGGCTTTGATGTTCAGCCATATCACGCTGGGATTAGCTTTCCTGGGTGGAATTCGTGTTTTAGATCCTCCTAGGTATAGACCGGCTCTGGGGACTAGAAGGAGGCAGAGGCCACCCTGGGAGCAAGTGCTGCCTCGAAAGCGTCCATTTCCCCAGGCCCGGGCTCAGGGCGGCCTGGGGAACAGCAGGGAGGCTGTGACGGGAGGCGTTTCCTGCCCGGGTGGGAAAGCGAGATAGGAACCAGGTAGGCCGTGGGCAGGAGGGAAGACAGATGCTGCTCTTGTCTCGGCATCAGCCCTGCAGAGCCGGAGAGCCCCCTGGCCTGTGTCTGGAACTGAAGGGATCGTTTCTGCAAGGACATGTGACACACAGGGTCTCCAGCCCAGGACCAGCAGCCACTGCTTGCTTTTGTCAGGGTCCTCTGAGTGGGCAAGAAGAATCGAGTCCAGGGGACCACGTGGAGGTGAAGGGTGGTGGGCAGTATGGCCAGAGTTCAGGGGGACGTGGCCTGCCCGCGAGTCAGCGTGGGCCTGGGTGCTTTTCATGTGCAGCAGGGGGGACTGTTGCTTCAACTCAGTCGGTGGGACTTGAGTGCTGCAGGCGTGAGCCACACAGAGGTGGCCTCGGTGGCTCGCCGGGGAGCCGGGGTGGCAGGCAGTCTGCGTGCAAGGTCCCAGGGGAGGTCAAGAGCAGCCTGGAGCGACAGAGCAGAGAGAGGCGGATGGTGGTTCAGGGAACCTGGCTGGTCCCCACGTGGGAGACAGTGTGTTGTGAGCAGGCCTTGACGGGTGTAGGAAAAGGCACTCTCGACAGAGGGTCCTGCCGTGAGCAGGTGTGCAGCCCAGCTGTTGGGCTGCGGCTAGAAGCCCCAGGCGGTTTGCAGTGGGATGTACGTGAGCGGAGGGTCTGTCAGGGCGCCAGTGCTGGGAGCATCTCCACCCGGGGTTCTTGAATCCCAACTGGGGAGACCCTATTGTATGTCAGATGCAGTCAGAGCCACGGACAGTTTCTGGAGACAGGGAAAGTCTGAGCACCATGGGCTCTGGGGAAGAGGGTTGTTGAGCCTGCGAGAGAAAACCCACAGGGTCAGACAGAAAACCCTCAGGCCTCACCAGTCACAGCCCAGTGACGGCCTCAGCCACTCAGCTGCACAGAGCCTAGTCCCCCCCCCCCCAAAGCTGTGAAAGGGGGAGGCGAGCTTCCTTGCAGCAGGGTTCCCCCTGCCTGCAGCACTGACCACATTTGGAGTTTGGACCGATGAGCCCTTGTCCTGGGGGGCATCCCGGGCATCACAGGGTGCTGAGCAGCACTCCCTGCCTCCACCCCCCAGCGGCTGGTAGCATGCCCCGGAAGCTGTGCTCACCGCAATGTCTACAGACACGGCCAGGGGCCACCGGGGAGCAGAACTGCCGCCTCACAGGTCCCCTGGCGGACTGAACAGGATCTGAGTAAAACGCCTGGTACAGAGCGAGGCGCCCAGGGCACTGGGCTGATGAGCATCGTCGGCTGAGGGGAGACCCTTTGCAAGGCTCATTGTCATGGTCCAGGCAGAACCAGTGATGACAGAAAGACTGTCTGGAGACATCCATGGGGTGGGCCCCGCAGGGGCCTCCCACCCGCTGAAAGAGGAGCACAGAAAGTTCCCCCGTCCTCACACCTGGCTGGCTGGGAGGACAGAGCTTTCTCCCAATTGAGAGGGGAAGCTGTGCCCGTAAGAAGCAGGGTCTTTTTTTTTTTTTTTTTTTTTAATATTTTATTTACAGAGAGGAAGAGAGAGGGATAGAGAGTTAGAAACATCGATGAGAGAGAGTCATCGATCAGCTGCCTCTTGCACACCCCCTACTGGGGATGTGCCCGCAACCAAGGTACATGCCCTTGACCGGAATCGAACCTGGGACCTTTCAGTCCGCAGGCCGACGCTCTATCCACTGAGCCAAACGGGTTTTGGCAGAAGCAGGGACCTTTGCCTAGGTCCTTGGGCGCTCAAAGGCTGAGGCACGCAAGGCCGCACAGGAGTTTGAGGTCCAAGAGGGAACGGAGGACGAGGAACGGACCTGGTGGCCTGGCAGCGGGTGTCTGAGAGCATTGTATGAGCAAGTCCGCGAGAGGACCCCGCAGGAGCGCGTGGCACAGTGGGCTTTCCTCCCGGGCTCCTCCGTAGCACAAGGATCAGCTCCCGGCCGTCCTCTGGCGGTGGAGCCGAGGGCAAGCCCCCCAGTGCCCAGCATCCCCCAGGCCGTGACGAGGGGTGGAGGATGGCGTCCTCACAGCTGTTTGCTCCCCCAGAGCGAGGGGACTCGCGTGTGTTTTGGGGAGACACAAGAGTGGGGGGAAGCGGATGCATCTTTCCTGTCCTAGGAGAAGGTCTTCAGGAGTGTGGGAGTGTAGGTGCAGCTGCTCTGTGGCTAGGCGGCACGTTCCGGTACCGAAAACGCATCCCCTGAGAAATAACAAACCACCCGCCGGACACCCCCCTTCCTCCTCCCGCCACCTCAGGAGGCCCACGGGAAATAAATGACAAATAAAAATAAATGAACCAGAGAGAGAGAGAGAGAGAGAGACACCTGAGAGACCGCACCGAGGCCTCCCGCTCTCACCCGCCCCGTTCCCCGGAGGAGAGGACCCCGTTCCGAGCGCCCGCTCTCAGGAGCGAGCTGAGCTGGCGCGGCCGCGCAGGGGAGCGTGTGTCTGTGTGTGATGTGCCTTCATGCGTCACTCTATTTATGTTGTTCGCAGCCCAACGGTAGCGGCCAGGGCAAAGTCCCGGGGTCATTTTTGCTACCGCCGCCGCCTCCAGTGGCCAGACCTGTGCCCCTTCCTATGCCTGATTCCAAATCCACCAGCACTGCCCCAGACGGCGCCGCCTTGACTCCTCCATCACCTTGTAAGTGGACGATGAAACGGAAACCACAGCGCCCCAGCCCGTCCAAACAGCCTCCACTGCAAACAGACAAGCCCCCCACGCCCTGCCCGCCACCGAGTCCCCCCCGCCCAGCAGGCCTCGGAGCCTCCCAAAGCTGAGCCCTCCCCCCCCCACGGCCACCCAGGCCTCAGGCGCACCCGCCAGCACCCCACGAGCCCCCTGCCCGCTGCTCCCAGCCCTGGCCCCTGGCCCAGGCTCCTGGGGGGCGGGAGGGGACGCACAGTGGGGCGCAGGCCGGGGTGCTGGCCAGGGCGGGAAGGGACCGGGAGGCGCAGCCATGCCATCTTCATGCCTGATTGCTGTATTTTTCGTTTTTCGTTTTTCGTGTTTTGTTTTTTGATTTTTTGTTGTTGTTGTTTTGTCGTGCCCCCCCCCACACACACCAAGAAAACGTAATGTGACCACAAGGCGACGCCACCACCATCCCGTTTTGCCTCGCCCCCCTCCCCTCCATCCAGGCCTCCAAAAGGTGCAGCTGGCCCGCCCGACCCTCCCTTCAGTCTCACATTTGGTTTCTCGTTGTTCCTCCTCTTTGTTTCCCCCTCCCCACTCCTTCTCCCCTCCCCAGGTTGGATATTCCAGGACAAGGGAGGGCTCTGGACCTTGGCTTACTTCATCTCTTTCTCTCTCTCTCTCTCTCTCTCTCTCTCTCTTTTTTTTTTTTTTTTTTAAACCAATGACAACTTTTGTCCAAGGGAAGAGAAAACTCTGAGCTGGGAGGCCCAAGGTAGACCCGACGTGAGGGACAGAAGAGGTGGCGGGAGGGCAGCGTGCCGTCTCTGGGCAGGGCAGGGCGGGCGGGGCGCGGGCAGCGCTTCGGGCGCTCTGGGGGCTGGCAGGCCGCAGGCCAGGACGTCCGGGTGGGAGGGGTGGCCCATCTCACCACTTTTCTCCGTCTTGCGCTCTCTGTCTCACCTTCTCTCCCATGGTTTGAGTTCTTCCCCCCTTCTCCATCCTCTTCACGCCATCTTCCCATCTGCATCCGCCATAAAACATCGAGTCATGGTCATGGTCATGGTCATGGTCATTGGAGGTGGGCCGGGTGGGAGAGGGGACCAGGCTACAGGTGGCACTTCTGGACAGAAGCTGGTGAGCATGGGGTCCCTGGGGTGGGTGTGGTGCAGGGCAGGGGGTGGGGGGCTCCCCAGGCATCCTGTGACCCTCATGATTCCCCTGTGGGAGTAACCTCTTTCCTGGGGTGGCAGGGCCCCTCCCCTCCCCCTAGGAGCTTACAGAGCTTCTCCTGGGAAGAGTGTTGGGCTCATTGGGCCCTCGGACCCCAGAAGAGTTGCCCCTGGGCTCTGCCCGGGCCTCCAGCCTCCTCTTCCTCTTGTGTCTGGGCCTGTTTCAGACTCTGGGGAACCAGGACCACAGCACCTGGCTCGTCCACCAGAGGAAGAGAAGGCCTGCCAGGCCTGGGCTCTGTCACCCCCGGCCCTAGCCGTCAGCCAGCTCCTCCCTCCCTCTCCAAGCCCGTCCCGTCTGGCCCAGCCCTCCCGTGGGCCCCTCCGAGCTCCCTGGACCATCGGCCCAGTCCTTGGGACCGTCCAGGGTAGGAAGTGGAATGCGAACCCAACTGAGAACAAGCCTTCCCCAAGCAGGGTGGGGCCAGCCCGCCAGGACCCCCCCACCCCCACCTCCCTTCTCTCTAGGCCTGAGAGGGCCGGTGGGAGAGCTAGGTCACCCCCTTCGGGTGCCTGGAGAGGAGGGTTACCCCGGCCTTGCTCGGTGCCTGGCTGGGGGAGAGGACTGGGTCTGTGGGATCTCAGCTGGAGCCCCCAGGGCCCCTCCCCACCCCTGGCCAGGAAGGAGGACGCCGGGCCCAGGCAGAGGCCGGGGTGGGGGACTGTGTGTTCCTGGTAAGAGGATGAAGGGGCCCCTCTGGCCGGTCCTTCCCGCTGCCAGCCTAACGCTGGGCGGCACGGTCTAACCCAGTGTCTCCCTCTCTCAGCAGCCCCACCAGGGCAGTGCCCAGGGGGGCCCCAGGCCTCACGGGGTCTTTCCCTCTCTTTCCTGCTCCCCGCAGCATTCGCAACGACAGGCGCCTCCTCTGCCAACCGGTTTGTCAGCATCGGACCCCGGGACGGCAACTTTCTGAACATCCCACAGCAGTCTCAGGTAGGAGTGGGAGGCGGGCAGGGGGGCAGGGCTGGGGGCGCAGGCGGGTGGGGGCATCGTGGTGCCAGGGACGAGGCCAGGGTCTTGGGGTCCCTCTGGGGCAGGGCTGAAGGATCCAGGCTTCTGCACGCCCGGCTGAACCCACCTCCCCGGCAGCTCCCAGGCCCCCTGGCTAACCGGCTAATTGGATAATTAGTTCTGACAACCTCGGCCCGAGGAAGGTGGCCAAGGACCCGAGGCGCGCTGGGCCGAGAGAAGCAGAGCCGGACGCCGGGGCCCCGTCAGGGTGGGGCAGCATCTGCCCGGTGGCTCTCCTCCTGCTCTGCGGGAAGCCCTGCTCCCCTGCCCTCCCCGCTCCCCTGGCTCTGGGTGGGCTGAGGAGGGACTGAGCTGGCCTGGTGGGCCACATGCCCAGAGACGCTGGCACCAAGGGCAGGGCAAGGCCCGCTGTGCCCTGGAGGCCCCTCCCCCGACTCCCCTTGAGTCCTGTTAGAAGGGTGACCAAGCTTCTGGAGCCCCCCAGCTCTCCCCCAACCCTGCTCCCATCTGTCTCCAGTTCTCACAAGGAAACACCCAACCACCCCAACCCTCCTGCTGGGCACCCCACACTGCTTTGCACAGGCGCGAGCACACACACACACACACACACACACACACACACACACACACGTGTCCTGCCTTTCCCATGCCTGTCCCAAGAGGCTGGGGATAGTCTCCAGGGGCCCCTGGGGCACAGAGAGCGCCCTCCTCAGGAGCAGGGCAAAGGCCGCGTGCAGAGCGTGGCACTTCTTTTTATAGAAATGCCACCCTGTGAGCCCCGGGCCCAGGAGGCTTCGGCCCTGGGGACCGCCACCTCCGCCCAGAACCCTCCTTCGGCTCCTGCGCCCTCTCGGCCCGGAGGCCTGAGTCCAGAGAAAGTTAGTGGGATAGAAGTTTTGTATGTGCGGTTTTGAGGTTTTGTTTTTTCCCTTTTCCTTTCCCTCCCTCGGAAGAGAAAACAACAACACCACACACACACACACACACACACACACACACACACACACAAAAACACAACAGCCCAAAACTTTGTCAAACTGCAAACTTCAGAGCTCCCTAGTGGCGAGGAGGGGAGGGGAGGGGAACTTCAGCCCCCTCCAGCTTCCCACCCCCTTTCCCCAGAGTCACGTCTGACCCGTCTGGTTTCCAAGAGCAACCAGACATGATGTAACACCCAGATGAACTTGAACTTGGGGGTGTTGAGAAGAAAAACAATGGCTCCGAGCAGGGGCTGGAGCCAACCCCCTCCAACTCTGTGCCAGGGAGCCCTGGAGAGCCCTGCTGGCAGAGGGCGGGAGGGGGCGCCCTCCCAGCTCGGGGCTGGCACCAGGCGGCAGGACTCCAGCGCTCCCGCCCTCCCTCCTTCCCTCCCTCCTGCCGCCAGCCGGCTGCCTGCAGCTCTGGCTGTTCCCTGCTTGCTTTCGTGCTTTCCTGCTCTCCCGGACCACAGCCTCCAGCCCTTTCCTGCTCGCCCCATTTCCGCCTCCGTGTGCTTTCCCTTCTGCACTTTCTCTGCTCACTCTGCTTGGACGGTGGGGCCAAGTCAGAGTATGAGGCAAGTTTTCCTCCCCGTTGTTCCCAAAAGGGGCCTGGGCCTTGGCAGGGGGCAGGCAGGTGGGCACGGCGGTGGCCGAGGAGGCTGCAGCAGGGGGACCAGAGCTGGACAAGCCTAGCCAGGAGCCCTTGGGCCTGGGGGCAAGCGGGCTGCAGCGGGTGGGCACCGGGGGTACCGCGGGGGTCGGTTTCCACAGTAACCGGTGACTTTAGCCGATCTCTGGAGCACCAGATGGAGAGAGAACAATAGAGCGAGGGAAGAAAAGAGAATTTTAGCAATTTTGTCATTCCCTGGGCAGCGCTTTTTTACTTAGTTTTAATCAATTTTGGACCTGGCTCAGGAAGCAGGGAGGGGTGAGCAGAAAAGCCACTCTGCGCTTGGCAGCAGATCCCCATTCCCGGGACGGGGGAGGAGGCGCTGGGGCCCTGCTGGGGCCTTTTTGTCCGTGACTCCAAGCCTGGAACTGGGGTCCTCCTCCTCTGAGCGAGTCCCCAAGTCTGAGCACTGGTGGCTGCCCCCACACCCCCCCCCCGCTGTGCAGCTCGGGAGACCCCAAAGGGTCGAGCTTAGGGTCTGGCTTGTCTGGAAGGGACCTGGTTGTCCCCAAAACCTCCTGTCCTCCTCAGGGAGGGGGAGGGGCAGGCTCACAGCTGGGGCAGTGGTGTAGGGTTCCAGGGCAGCCTCTCTTTGGAAAGAGGGTCCCAGAGGCCATCAAGGTGGGGGGGAGGGGGTACCCAGGCAGTTTCTCCAAAGGCCAGGACAGGAAGCCCAGGAGCTGGCCGCTGACCCCGCCCTGGTGCCCCGGCTGCCCATGCTGGGGATGCTTCAGATTCCCCCACAACGTGCCAGCCCCCCCCACCCCCACCCCAACACCCACCGGAGCCTCCGTTCGGCCTTCAGTCAGTAGAAGGGTGGACCACGGGCAGGCCTCCCCTGTGCGTGGTGTCCAGCACGTGGCAGGAAGTGTAGCCACTCTGCCCGCCCAGTCCACACCAGTAGCATCCCAGTCCCTGTGACAACCCCAACCCCCACTGTTCCAGCTGCCCTCCCTCCAGCTGCCCTCCCCAACGAGACAGCCGTGGGCACGCGTTGTTGCTTAAATGTAAATAACCAGAGAAACGTTTAATCCTTCCATCACACTAGCCACCTTTCAAGGGCTTAGACGTCGCCGGTGGCCACTGAAATGGATAGACGCGTAGAGAGCATTTCCACTGTCGAAGGGAGTTCTGGGTGACCTCGGAGGCCTTTTCTAACTGTAAAGCCCGATGTCTCCACCTCATAGTGGACGGCAGCCTGCAGTCCCAAACCGGAGCCGGGGGGGGGGGGGCGGAGGAGGGGGGGGGGCCAGGTCTGGCCTGCAGGCAGAAGTGTGTGACCAAAACAAGTGCTTTAAATACTGGCATTTTCACATGAAATTCTGTCTGGATTTCTGGCTCCTTTTGAAAAGTTGGCCGAGTAGCTCCCCCAGGCCCTGGCCGTGACGCTGGCAGCCTTGCCCTAGGCAGGGTGAGCACGCCACCCACATGAAGCCGTCAGGAGCGTCAACTCTGAACTGCCCCCCCTTGGGCAGGTCAGCTGGCCTCTCTCCCCTGGCTTCTGTGTGGGGTTGGAGCTAGGTCAGGACGACTGAGGTCCTGATGTGTGCTCTGTGGTTAGGCCTCCTGGGCGCCTGGAGATCCGAGTCTGTGACCCAGAGCCTGGGTGAGGCCCTGAGATGCATGTTCAGGGACCTCCATTTTGCACCAAGAGCACCACCAGGCATCCCCAGTTACTGTAGACCACAGAGGAGAATGCCCCGGCCCTACCCCGTGGCCATGAGGTGAAGGAAAATGCCAGGCACCCATGCTGGGGAAGGGGGAAGGGGTGTCCACCCTGGGGATGTTTTGCGCAAAGTGGCCACCAAGCCCCATTTGTGGGAAGGCAGCGCCCCCTGCTGGCATCCTAAGAGAAGGGACATCTGCCCGAGGAAGCCTGAGTCTTAGTACTGGTGCCCTCGGCAGCAATTTTCTTTTTGTTTTGTTTTTGTTGTTGTTTTAATCCTCACCCAAGGGTATATTCTTATTGATTTTAGAGAGAGAAGGAAAAGGGGGGCGGGGAGAGAAACATCAATTGGTTGCCTCCCATACACACCATGCAATCTGGGCCTGTGCCTGACCCTCTATGACTTTTGGCGTACAGGGCAACGCTCCACTAACTGAGCCACACCGGCTAGAGCAAGGTAGCAATTTCCAACCTTTGTCATCTCATGGCACACATAAGCATTACTAACATTCTGCGGCACACCAAAAAAAAAAAAAAATACATACGTTTGCCAATCTGACCAAAAAATATAGGCATAATTTTGGTTCCTTCCCATTGACTACTATTGCTGTGGTGGCTGTTATTATTTTTTAAATGGACAGTCTAAAGGGAAAAAAAAAAGCACTGTTATTAGTTATAGTTGAAAGCTATTACAAATGTATGTTTTGTAGATTGAAAATATTTTATAAAAAAATAAATACATAGAAATATTTTATAATAAAAAAAGGTGGGGGGAGACAAAGGCCAGTGTCCCCGACTAAAAATTCTAGTGGCACATCAGCTGAAAATTGCTGGCTTAAGGCTAGAGAATTGGGGGGGGGGGTCCTACCAGGCCCCTCTCTTTGGGGGCGGGCTACCATCGTTAGGGGCTGCAGCCATGTGGTACCCCCCTTACCAGCCTTTCAGTCTGTGGGACCTTGGCTCGGGTGTGCAGATGGGAATTTTTGCTTTTAAGTCTAAAGAGGCAGAAAGAAAACTCAGCAAGAAGCTAGGCCACCAACCCGCCCCCCCCCCTCGAATCCCTATGGGGACAAAAGCTCCAGCCTGGCGTCCTCTCCGCCCTCCAGGACCCACACAAAAACTTAAACAATTGGAAACATGGCCAGATCCCAGGTCTGCGCTTGTGCCAGCGCCAGCCACGGGGGTCCTACCCGCTGGGCACGATGCCCACGGGAAGGCCAGCTGGACGCTAGCGCTAGGGGGCAGGGTCTGGGGGGGGCAGGATTCCCACAGGAGGGACAGACCGACAGAATGGGATGTAGCTCTGTGCGGTGTGGGTGTCCTTGGCTCCTCGGGAGCCGGCCCCTCCGAGGGCCTCGGCCGCCACCTGCAGCCACAGGGCCAGGTGGGAGTGAGCAGGGCCCTGCCCCAGCTGTTCTCAATGTCGCCTCTTTTTTTGTCCCACTTCAGTCCTGGTTCCTCTGATAAGATCGACAAAAGAAATGACACAATGAAAAGAAGAGGTTCCTCAAACAGGGGGAGAAGAAATTTTGAGACGCGGAAAAAAAAAAATCCCCCAGCCCAGCCCAGCCCCACCGAAAAGCAAAAAGTAAACGTCGTCGGCCACTCAGCCCCTCTCTCCTCCAGCCCAGGGACCCCGAGGCCCCCCGCAGCACCCCGGGGTTCTGAGAGCCCTCGGAAGAGGCCTCGGCGGAGCTGTGCACCAGCAGCCAAGCAGAAAGCAACATGCAAAGCGGACTCTGCCCAGCAGAGGACAGAAAGAAAGAAAGGATGCAGCAGAACTTCCTTCCTCCCCCATCCCATCCTGGCCTTCTGGGGAAGGAACTTCATCCCCAAACAAACCAACCAGCACCGTCCGAAGGGGCCTGTCCCCCACCCTTGTCCTTCCTGGGGGAACCCCACCCTCAGCTGGGGTTCAGAGCGCCACTAGGGAGCTCAGAGGACTAGCTTGTCAGGATGAGGGGTGCGGACCCAGAGGGCACGTCCCCTCCAGATCCCACCCAGCCCTCCCTCGCGGCCTGCTCCGGACGGACGGGGTGAGGCAGGGTGGCCCCCGAGTCCCCCTGCCCCACTCTTAGGCTAAGACGTCCCCACCCCCAAACAGGGGGCACCTCCTGGAGCTCCTTTCATGCCCCCAGAAAGGAGGGTGTCCCACCACCCTACCCTGGGCCACAGGGGCATTCCCAGCACCCCACACCCTCTGTACAGTAAGAAGTCAGAATGCTCTCCAAGGTCCAGTCCCCGAGGGGGACAGGCCCCCTCCCCCCTCTCTTCACAGGCAGGCCGGGGAGGTGGCCCTTCTGCCGCCGCCCCAGTGAGGGGAGATGGGCCCCAGTCGCCCCCACACCCCAGCCCGCATGCAGGTGCCCTTGTGCCGCCCCAGCGGTCCCTGCCCCTGCCCCTCACGCAGACAGCCTGCCGTGGCCGGGCGAGAGCGGAGCAGAAAGGGACCGGGAGCAGAGCGAGGAGGAAGGGCGGCCGCGGCTGCCCTCGCCTGAGCCGCCACCTGCGCTAGGTAGGCGTCCCGCCGGCCCCTTCCCGGCCCTCTGGAGGGTGTTGGGTGTCATGGTCCTTTTTCAAAAGCGTTTTCGGAGCGTTCTCTCCCCCACCCCTTCCCCACCACCCCCTCCCTTGTGGCCACTTCTCTCTGGATTTCAGCTGTAATGTCTTTCCTCTTTATTTCGGGGTGGGGCATTCATTGTTTGGGTCTTCTGCTGTTGCAATCGGGAACTCCTCCTCCAGTGAAGCAACTTGGGAACAATTTGGTCACACACCACAGGAAGTAGCTCCCCCCCGCCCAAGTCCCCTCCTCCCCCAAGGGAAGGTCGGGGACTGGGCAGAGGGTCCTCCGAAGCGGCCCTGGGAGGCAGGGGAGCAGGGGCACGCCCAGCCCCGTCCAGGGGTGTGACTCGGCCCCTCTGGCTTGTCTTTCTGTGCCTTACTCCCTCCTCCCCACATCTCCCCTCCTTGGGCCCCTTCTAAGTCCTTGTGCCTCTCTCTCTCTCTCTCTTCTCTTTCTTAAATTGTATGAAAACACAAAGCACAGGTCAGGATCCTCTGAAAGTCAATCAGCCCAACATTGCACGCAGGGGTGGGTTCTGGGTTTTATTTATTGTGAATCTAGTGTGTGAGGCTGGGGCAGAGCAGGCGAGGGAAGGGAGGAGACGAGGGGGCCGGCTAGGAGGGGGGAAGAGGCCTCACCCGGGGCTGCGGGGGGCGGCGGGCGGCACCTCCTCCCCAGCTGGAAGCCACAAGGTAGCTCGCTAGCCCTCGGGATAGCTTTTGTTGGAAGTTGAGCAAAGGCCCTCCCTCCCCTCCCACCCCCATCCGCTTGCAGCCCAGGGGAGGACGGGGACTGAGAAGCTGGGGAGCCCGGGGACCCCACGGGAGCCTGGGGGCGGGGGTCGCGGGGAGCAGGGCGGGGGTGGGGGGCCGGGTGGGCCGGGCGTGACGCGCGGTCAAAGTGCAATGATTTTTCAGTTTGGTTGGCTAAACAGGGTCAGAGCTGAGAGGGGAGCGGGAGGGACCCCTGCCCTGCCGCACGCGCCCTCGGAGGAGACAATCGGGCCGCGGGCGGGCAAGGGTGCGCGGGGCGCCCGCCCGGCGAGGTCGGAAGCTGCGGGCCAGCTGGGCCGGGACGACGGCGCCCGCGGGGCTGCCGGGGCCCAGGCCGGGGCGGGGGTCGCTCCGTCCCCCCAAGTGTCGCTGTGAGGCTCAGGCGAGAGGCGTCGAGGGCCCCAGGAGAGGTGGGGACGTGTTAGAAGAGAAAAACGAGAAGAAGAAAAAAAAAAACCCACAAAAATATATATGGGGGAAATGAACTTTTTTTTTTTTTTTTTCATTGAACCAAGTGCAATGCATCAGAGAGTTTTCCTATCTTTGTATGTTAAGAGATTGTTAAGAAAAGTTCTATTTTTGTTGTAAGGTCCCCGCGGCTCTGGGGACGCTAAAAGAAACGGGCCTGCCCCGCCCTTTGCGGGGATAACGAAAAGCTGAGTGTTTTTCCTTTTTTTCTTTCTTTCTTTCTTTTTTTTTTTTTTGTTCGTTTCAGGTTTTATTAATTTTTTTTTTTCGTTTTCTTTTTTTTAAGTCGTTTTCCTGCGTTGACAAGGATGATCTGGGGTTTTTTTGGTTTTCGTCGTTCGTTCTCAGTTTCGGTGGGAGGGCTGAAGGAAACGTTCACATTTCAGAATTTAAAAAATAAAAACACCTGATTTTAAACAAAACAAAAAAAATCACAAGATCTCAAAGGAAAAGGACGAGAGGAAAAAAAATATTTTTAAGATAATTCAACATAAAACCCTGGTGCTTCTTACAGTATAAAGTACGTTTTTAAAGACCCACAAACTATTATACATAAGTTTATGATCAGTTAAGTACCCTGCACTCGTTAGGAACACGCATATCCCTTCTTTGTTGAGTTTAACGGAACGGGACGGCGGCGCGCGCCCCGCGGCGGGCTGCTCTGGCCGCGGGTCTCCCCGGGCGCCTCCCCCTCCTCCTCGGGGGGCCCAGCGCCCCCACCTCGGCCCCTCCCCCTCCCGGTGCTGGGGCGCGGCGGGGGGCCCCAGCCCCTACCCCGCAGAGGTCAATGCCAACGAACAAAGGTCCCCTCCCTCCCTCGCTCCCTCTCCGCCCTGAGCGCCCTTCTTTGAGCCAGACGCCAACTTGACCCTCACCAGCATACCCAGGAGCGCGCCCAGCAAGTTGGTCGTTCCCTCCCCGGCGCCCCCAACTCGACATCACTCCCCCCACCCCGCCCCCCGCCCCCCACCCCGTCACCCTCCCTCCGGGGAGCACGGGAGAGGCTCGACGCTCCAGGACAGGACCCGCCAAGCGGGCAGGTCGGTTCGCCCAGGCCTGCGCACGCACACGGCCCGCACACAGTCCCCCCCACCCCACCCCTCCACCAGCCCTGACACCCCGTCAACTGCCTTACACACCCGCGCCGGCCGGCCGACCTAGTGCCTTGTTCTCACCCCCGTGCTGGCGGAGCGGACGCCGCGCTCTGGGTCCCAGAGGGGCCGGGTGGCTCCGACGACGCACCACTGCCCCACCCCGACCACCGTGCTGAACGGACACCCCCCCCCCCGACACACACACACACACACACACACACACACACACGAGAGGAGAAAAATAAAAGGAGCAATAAAAGAATCACGAGAACTTTCGCCCCCCCCCACCCAATCGAGAGCCCAAGGGGCACCCTAGCCCCGCCTCTGCTCCCCCACCACCACCCACCTTTGGGGCGCCCCCCTGTCCTTCCCATCCCCCCTACCCCCCGCAAGCCAGCCCGGGCCAGCCAGCCCCGCTTCGGCGGCCCCTCCCCTCGGGAGATCCGTGCGCCCGACCAGCACCAGCATCGCGGACCGCAGAGGCCGCCCGTCCCGTCAAACAAGTTTCTTCTTAGGCTAAGAAACGCAGCATATACGAGTATCTCTATATATAGTACTAATGGATTTGGTGTGCTTCCCCTTAGCGTCCCCGTCCCCCTCTCCGCCTCCGCCTCCTCCCGCAGCCTGGTCTCCCCCTCTCCGCCCCCCCCCCCCCCCCGTCTCTGCACTGAGATACATAAGAAACAAGGGTAGTTTACTGTCTGTTTTGTTTTCTGGGTTTTCAGTGTCCTAGCGGAATGCAAGTAGGCAGCCAGCCCGTCTGTCCCCTCTCCGCCCCGCCCCGCCCGCCCCGCCCCCCGTCACTGCGCTTCTGTTATACCATCTTTGCCTGACTCTCTCCGGCTTCTCCATTGAATGGCTAATGTGTATGTGAAATAAAGAAATAAAGAAAAAACAAAAGCAAGAGCGTCTGAGCCTTCGCTGACGCGGTCGGATGAGTGGGGTGGACTCTGCGTCTCGGTCCCCGCACCGGGCGCGCGGCCGGCGCCGTCGAGGCGCTGTATCCCTGAGTCTCCAGCAGGGGGCGCCGGCGAGAAGAGGCAGCCTCCCCGCCCCTCCTCGCCTCTCCGTGGAGCCCCCAACCAGGAAAGAAAGAAAAAAAAGAAAAAAGAACAGGCACCACTTAGGTCCGACGGCGGCTCTGCCATGTTGATGTTCCCGGACCAAGGCAACGTCCAGCGGGCGGTGGGTGGACAAGAGGGTCTGCAGGGCTCCTGGGGGCGATGGTCGCCCGCCCTTCCAGACCCCCTGCCCTTCCCCCTGGAGGGTATGTCCTCCTTCCCCCTCTAGGGGGGGGGGCTTCGCTCCAAAATACGCGCAGTGCGTGGTCCGCCCCTTCCTCGACGGCCCGGGGCTGAGTCCCCAGGCCCTTCGCGGGCGCAGAGGCCATGGAGGTCACCGCACCTCCGGGCTCACAGCCGCTTGTTCCGTCTTGATGGGGCGGGCCGCCCCGACGGGGCTGCCGCCGCCGGGGCAGGCCGGGGCTGCGGGCTGCAAACGCCCCACCGCCTCGGCCGGGTGGCAAGGCCCGCGGCGGGCGCCGTCCTCCGGGCCTCGGTGCTGCGCCGGCCGTGTCCGGGGCCCGGGCGGGGCCGAGCCCGCGGCCAGCGCGGCCGCCTGGTCCCGCAGCAGCCGCACCAGGAAGCCGATGTACTTCATGGCCAGGCGGAGCACCTCGTTCTTGCTCAGCTTCCGGTCGGGCGGGTGCGTGGGCAGCAGCTTCCTGAGCTCCGCGAAGGCGCCGTTCACGTTCTGCTGCCGCCAGCGCTCGCGACTGTTGGTGAACACACGGCGGGCCACCTTCTGGGGCTGTTGCCCTGCGGGCAGGAGGGGAGGGGTTGGCACCGAGGGGGCGCCCCCTCCTGCCCTCACTTCGGGTACCCAGCACGCTAGTGGGGACTTCCACACAGGAGGTGAGCTGGGGCTTTCTCCACGCAAGGGATGTGCGTGGAGGATCCGCCACGTGTGGCTCCCCTGCCCACCCTCACCCCCACCCCCACCCCCACCCTCTAGACAAGGACAGACTGGGCTGCACGCAGCTGTGGCCTCTAAGCCTCTGGCTGCACCTTCATGTCAGTGGCTGAGTCCCCAGCGAATGTTTTTCCTTGTGGCTGCCAGTGGGGGGAGCTGTCCCTGTAGTCTTCATTCTGAGTGTGTCCCAGTGTGTGTGGCCCCGGGGGTGCTCGTGGGTCTGAGAAGGACTCTTATTGTGATTGTGGTCCTGTCCGTGTCCGCGGTGGTTGTGTGACTTGTGGTCTGTCTAAACGGCTGTGGCTGTGTGTGATGGTTGCCGTGTGGCTGTGTCATGCATGGCTGTGGTGGGGTGGCTGATTCTTGTGTGGCCGCGGTCCTAAGTGTCTGTGGTTGTCTGTGTCCTGTGTGTGTGTGTGTGTGTGTGTGTGTGTGTGTGTGGTGGTTGTGCTCCCCTGGCTGTCTCTTGCCTGATGGTTGTCACGTGGCTGCTTCCTGGGTGGCTGTGCCTCCAAGAGGAGCTGTCATTTTGTGGCCCCTGAGCCAGGACTTGGAGTTTGTTTGGGTGACGGGCTGTGTGGGACTGGCTGTGACTGGTTTTGCACATGAGTATTACATGAGTGCGGCACCCGGGTGGGCTGTTCTGTGTGCGTCTGTGCAGGGGCAGCACTTCGCCCTGCGGAAGGGCCCGGGGCAGATGGGGACCCATGCAGACACAAGCTCATACTCACCCTCCGCCAGCTCCAGCTCACCGTGGCTCGGTCTCCGCTTCAGCCGGCTGCTCGGGAAGATGCTAAAAGGCCCTGCCGGCCCAATGTAGAGGCTGTAAGGGTTCATGGGTCACTAATGCCCTGTGGGCAAGGACCCTGGCCCCGGATTCCCCCAGGCCCGGCCCCCACTAACCTGTTGAGGAAGGGGTGAGGGTGGTAATGCAGGGCCAGAGGGGTTGGGGCACTTCCCAGGGCGGAGAATTGCAGCAGTGGGGGCCGAAGGGCACTCTGCTCTGTGCTGGCCATGGCCGCCCCTGGGGGCCTGGTGTGACCCAAGCTGATCACCGGGACGCCAGGGGGCAGCCTGGGGGGTGAGTCGCCTTGGTGGCCCACCTCCTCTGCCTTTGGGGGCCCAGGTGAGGCAGGCTTGGGCAGTGGTGCAGGCACTGGGCTGGGGGCACACACCATCTCAGCCTTCTCCGTCATGGTGAGGGCCACCTCCGCCTGGGCTTGGGGCGGGCACATGGACCCGAGGGGGTGCTCACCTGTGGAAGGGAAGGAAGCTGGTGGGAGGAGGAATCAGAGTCCACACACACCCTTAGCCCAACAGAGCCCTCAAATGGAGGGGATGGTGGGAGGGAGGAGGCCCAGAAACGACCAGGGCATGGGAGGAGGGTCTGATGCAAGCGCAAGAGATGCCCACTGAGATGCTGTGCAGTGAGGAGCCCAGCAGTGTTGTCTCTGAGCCATGTGTGACCATGAGGGCATGAGCAAATTCCCTTCCTCCGGGGCAAGGCAGGGTGTCCATGATGGACCCTGAGACCCTTAGATCTGACCCCTGCACCCTTCACTGACACAGTGTCCTTGGAATCCCTACATGATCGACTCTGACCTTTCCCTGACCTCCCGCCTCCTGCCTGGGCCCACCCTGTGGTCCTCATCTAGGACCCCGAGGCTCTTCCCATCGCCGCCCTGAGTCTTCCATAATCTCTCGTGACCCCACACACACTGAAAATGTCCCCCTCACTAATCCTGCAACCCTCGTTGCTGACACTATGACACCAAATGCTGGCACTGCCCAGTACCTACTGTCATGCCTCAATCTTCCTCTGGCCCTGGTGACCCCCCCATCTACCCCTCCCCCCCATCAGCATCCATCTCTTTATGCCCTATTTAAATAGCCCTGCTCACTCTTGGCCCATGGCCTGGAGCGTTCCAGCAACACTGGGGACACCCGGCCCCTCTTCCCTGTCTTCCCCAACTGGGTTCTGGGGAAGCTGGCCTAGCCTTAGTTGGTTCCTATAGATGAATGAATGAAGGCGGGAATGAATGAATGAATGCAGGTGGGTTGGGAATTCCCCCGCCTTCAGGCTGCTCGCTCTTACCCCAGGGCTGGTCCCGCTGCCTGCTGAGTCCCCTGGCTCTGCCAGTCAGGGCAGGAATATGGCTCCAGCTTCAGGCCGGGCTCCCCAGCCCTGCTCCCTCCAGCCTCTCCGCTCCACCCCAGGCAGCCAGCCACTCTGTCTGGGCTCTCAAGGGCCTTGGGGCCTTGGTGGTGGCAGCAGCATGGGTCCCTCGAGGAAAAGTGAGCCGCTCAGGGGCCGGCCCGCCCTGTCCCCGCCCCCAGTCTCCCCCCCTCTGACCGGTTTCCTCCCTCTTACCCCTGGCGCAGTGGCTGGAGGATGCTGGGCCGGCGTAGATAAGGGCCTGGCCGCCTGGCCGAGACTGATAAGGAGCCAGGCTGACCCCGGAGGAAACGGGCGGGCGGGGATCTCCAGGATCGGCCTCTCGCCCCGCCCCAGGCCAGTGGGCAGGACTAGCGGTGACCCCTCCTCAGGGCTTCACCTTCTGTCCGCTCAGTCGCTGGAAGGCCCCTGGCCTTCTGAGGACCAGCCCAGTGTGCAGCTACACAGAGGGGAAACTGAGGCAGGAAAGCAGCGGCCTCCGGTGTTGCTTGGCTCTGGCCTGTGGCACTGAACACCCCAGCTGTGTCCGTGCAGTTGGGGGTGGAGAGCCCCTTCCGGCCCTGCCGGGGCTCGTGACTGCGGCCCCTTCTTCTCTCCTCCCCCTGCCTGGTTCCTCTTTTCACAGAGCCCCTCCCAGCCTCTGCCACCCCCACCCTGGAGCGGGCATGGCTCAAGGCAGCTCTGACACTGATCTTGGGTGTCCAGCCTGGGGTGTTGTCACGGTCCCCCTGTGCTGTCCACTCCACATTTCCAGGCCCAGCAAGGTGATAGGAAGGAAGGACTACAGCTGGGGGAGATTTCCTATATGGCTAGGACCTTCCAGAAGCCATCCCAGCAAGTCCCCACCATCCTCTTCCTCCAGGTCATAGGATAGATAGCATAGCCCGTTTGGTGGTCCCTGCCCTCATCCCAGAGCCCAGCCACTTCAGGGTGAATGGTGACGAAGAGGTGTTGAGCGAATGTCCCGGGTGGAGCCTCGGGAAGGGTAGCAGGACAAGGCTGTTCCTGACCCCCAGCACCCTCTCTGGGGTCAGTTGTGCTTTGCCCCATGTCGGTCTAGGTGGCTGCATGAGCCCGCAGGCCGGCCCTCAGCTGTCACCTTCCAGGAACCAGGTGACCCCGCCAACCATCCCGCTTTCCCAGGGAAGAGGGGTCCACTTCTAAGCTCCCAGTGAACTCGGATGTGCCCACCGGCCAGTTCTGGGATCAGGTTCATTTAACTTTTTTTTTTTTAATTATATTTTATTTTTTACAGAGAGGAAGGGAGAAAATAGAGAAACATCGACCAGCTGCCTCCTGCACACCCCCTACTGGGGATGTGCCCACAACCAATGTACATGCCCTTGACCGGAATCGAACCTGGGACCTTTCAGTCCGCAGACCGACGCTCTATCCACTGAGCCAAACCGGTTTCGGCAGGTTCATTTAACTTTTGAGATGGACGAGGTGAAGGGTTCCTGCAGGTCCCACAGCTACCGCGTGGCAGGGTGGAGGCTCTGTCCCAGGCCTCCTGTTAAGGTCGCTGAGGCCTGCCTTAGTGGAGAGGATGCAGCAGCCTGCCCGGTACCTCTATGTGCACCCCCTCCCTCGAGGGGCCACAGGGCAGGAAACACCTGGCCTGGAGCGGATGCACAAGGAGCCTGGTTCCGGTCTGGCTTCCGCCACCGCGGCCCTGCGGGGAGCTGGGCCAGAGAAACCAGGCAGCCAGGGCCGGCGGCGAGAGGCCACGTGGGAACTCGGTGGCACCAGCTTGCATGCACGCGCCTGTTCTGGAGCACGCCAATGGCCAACGGAGGGGGGTGTGGGGGAAGGCCCGTAGGTATGAGCGCACGGCTGCCACCCCGTGGTCGCTTGGGGAACCACAAGCGCCAGCAATCGGGTGTCTAAGTGCTTATTACTGCGGGCGAACAGACGGGTCCCCACGCTGAACGCCTCAGACAGAAACACACCACCTCCCTCAGTCAGGCAGGGACACACCAACCTCTAGGTGCAGAGCTCCCCCAGGGAGCTAACTCAGATGGACAGAGGAACAGGCCCCACACATGCCAGACAGATAGACAAACCACCAGCAGCTTCTGCACTCAGACAAATGACGGCAAAGTGAAATCTCTTTATTGGTTCAATCCACACCTGGACCAGCGGTGGCCCCAGACCCAGGGGGCGTCTGGTTGGGGGTCTGTGCACAGTCAGTGGGGGCAGCTTCAGCAGCGGCCTCGGGCGTCAGAGGGCTGTGGGAGTAACAGCACTGGTCCCCCCGTTGACAGGTGCCCTGGTGGGAAGACGATGGTTATGATGATGGTTATGAAGCCAGCAGCCTCTGTTGGGTTCCTTTCCTGGATGGAGAGCTCACTCGCATACACTTGCCCATCCTGTTTCCCATCCCTGCCTGCCCCTGAGCCTTGCCCTACTGCCACAAGGGGGACCCGTGTGTACTGCACTTGGAGGTAGTGGGTGCCTCACCTTCTTAAACCTCTTGCAAGGAAAGGTCTTAAGCCGGGCAGCCCGCTGGGCCAGGTCCTCAGCTGGTTCCTTTCTCTTGTTCTGGAGCAATCTGCGTCTGTCCTCCATAGCTTCGCCCACTGCCTTGCCCCTGGGCCGGGAGATGAGCAGCAGGGACCCCATCAGGCCTCTGCACCCAGACCCTGGCCAAATCCCACTGCCATCGCTCTCACTCACCCTGGCCGGGCACGGGGCCGGGGGCCCCAATTGGCTTCGGGGTTGGCCTGGAAGCGCTTGAGTCCTCGCTGGCGGGAGCTGGGGTTGGCATCCTCCCGGATGGTGAAGTTGGCCTGCAGCCTGGAGAAAGGGGGTGCAACTGAGGGGCAGCCGCCACTCAGACATGCACAACCTAACTGCCCCAGGGCCTGCCCACCTGGGTGACTTGGGAAGGCATCTACCTGGGTCAGGATTCTCTCATTCGCTTAATAAGCATTTACTGTTGCCTACGGTGTGCCTGAAATCTGCCGCTGGTAAAGCTGACACTCTAGTGTACAAGACAAACAAGCAATGGGATAGTCAGAAATCAGCAAGTTATGTTTCGCTCGGGCATGAGATAAGAGTTTTGAAAAGAACAGAGCAGGACAGAGGTTCTGGGGAGACTGGGACAGGGGATCAATGCAGACAGGACAGAGTCAGGGACACCAGAAGGAGGTGAGGAAACAGTCCGTGCAAAGGCCCTGTGATGGGGCTGTGCCTCATGAGCGTGAGTGTGGAGTGAGCCAGGGGGCCGAGGAGGATAAATGAGGGCTGGAAAGGGACACGGAAATGGGGCAGGGCTTGCAAGTGGAACTTTGTTTCTGCTGAGTGGAAGCCACGGAGGGTTCTGAGCAGAGGGGGAACATGATCTGACTCAGGTGCTCACAGGCGCCCTCTGGTAGCTGTGGGGGGAACCGTCTGTGGGGGACCAGGGCTGAGGTGATCACACTGGTCTGTGTGATCAGGGAGCAGTGATCGGCCAGACTAGGGAGGGGCAGAGGAGAAGCAGCGGAAGTGGTGGGAGTAGATAGATTCTGGATCTCACTAGAATGAACACGATCTGTTAGAGAAGTGTCTGTCATCTGCAAGCACATGAGCATCCATGCCTGTGGCAGAGGGGTCCCTACCTGGGCTCCACGCTGAGAATGCGGAAGGCCGGACTGGTCTCAGACAGCCGCTCTCGTTTCACCGGGCACTCCTTCTCCTGGGAGGTAAAGGTCAGAGCCAGGGGATGCCAGGCCTGCCCATGCCCTGCCCTCTGATCCCTTTCTAGTCAGGCCAGCTCTTACCCAGCAGCGCATGATGTCCCAGAGGGCTGAGGCAGGGGCGTCGGTCTTCACGGCATTCTTACAGGCGTGGGAGAGCGAGACCCGGAAGCCAGCGTGGAGGAGGGCTGACCTGGGACCAGACGGGTTGTGAGGGGCAAGCGAGATCCCAAAGCCAGTGCTGACATGTGTGGGTGTGAGTCATGGGGTGGCTGTGAGGCCACTGCATGTCTCAGGGTGACTACGCAGCTGGTACAATGCCAGTGACCGTAACAGTCAGACCCTCCCCTGGGCCAGGGCTCTTGGCCTCTGAGTTCTT